CGAAGGGTCGCTAAAACAAAAAAAGGGCGCGCCTCGGGGGGCGCGCTGCGGTGGGCCCAAAAAAAAAAAAAATTCGGTCCTGGAGGGACCTAGCTCTATACCATGTGAAACTATGAGCAGAGGAATGAATTGACTAAGTCAGAGTTGGGTACAAATACAACCCTAGCAAACTGTACCCCATATGTGCTACCCCACTATAGCCTACAAACATGCATCAGCTATAATAATCTGACATAAGGAGGGTACAGCGACGGATTGCCCGGTACTGATCTACGGGAAAATACAGGGAGCAGCAGTGAAAATCTTCATTGACGGAGGAGCAAGTCACAGCTTAGTTAATACTGCAACCGCACGGAAATTACAGTTAACACTTAACCGATGTTTACCTGAGATAGATGCACGCTTAGTCGACGGCACGCCATTGGCCATACGAGAAAAAGTGGAGCGAGTAAAAGTCCGCTGCGGGGGAAACTTCGGGTTTACACAGGAAATGCTCGCAACGACGCTGGATGGGCACGACATTTTACTGGGACGTGATTGGCTGCGACGGTACAACCCACGGATCGACTGGACGACGGGGAGCTGCACAGTGCGAAGTAGCGGTAACTGGGTCGTCCTACCTCGCTGGCGGCCACCCGAATCTTCGACAGTCCAGGTCAACGCCATCGCGATGAAACGAGCTGTCGCTGCTGGAGCTGACGTGTACGCAGTGGATATCGCAGTGGTAGAAAAAGACGAGCAGCAGAACGATTTTCAGAAACTGCTAGCAGCCGTACCGACCGAATTACAAGCACTACTGAAACGGTTCCCGGGGATATTTCCGGATGATTTACCACAGGGACTGCCACCTCAGCGAGTGCACGACCATAGGATCGAGCTAGAACCGGGGGCACAGCCAACAGTACAGCGGCAATTTCGACTGACACAGCCCGAGCTCGACGAGTTAAGGAAGCAGTTAGATTACCTGTTAGAGAAGCAGTTTATTCGACCGAGCTCGTCACCGTTCGCCGCACCCATACTGTTCACACCGAAAAAAGACGGAGGTTTTCGCATGTGCATCGACTACCGAGCGCTTAACCGAGTAACAATCAAATCGCGATACCCCATCCCCCGCGCCGACGAACTCATTGACCAACTGCGAACAGCACGTGTCTTTTCGAAAATAGATTTACGGGGAGGTTACCATCAGATTCGGGTCGAACCATCGGACTGCGCAAAAACAGCATTTAGGACTAGGTACGGGTCATTCGAGTATACAGTAATGCCTTTCGGATTGACGAACGCGCCTGCGACTTTTCAGATGACCATGAACGAGGCGTTTAGACCACTTTTAGATAGATGCGTGATCGTTTACCTCGACGATATCCTCGTTTACAGTCGGGATAAGCAGCAACACTTAGCAGATCTCGAAGCAGTTTTTAAGGTTTTAGAGGAACATCGGCTGCTCACCAAGGGCTCCAAGTGCGAGTTTTTTAGGGATAGGCTAGAGTTTTTAGGTCACGTCATTTCCGAGGCTGGGGTTGAGATCGACCCAAAGAAGCTGGATACGGTAAAAGCGTGGCGCCCCCCGACAAACATCACGGAACTGCAGAGTTTTTTAGGGTTTGTTAATTACGTTCGACGGTTCGTGCCCGACATGGCACGTTTAACAGCCCCACTAACTGATTTACTGCGTAAGGGGGTCGCTTTTACGTGGGGGGAGAAAGAGCATGCTGCCTTCTCTGCCCTAAAAAACGTCCTCTGTTCACCACCCGTTCTACGTATCGCTGATCCCCACCGCCCTTTCGAAGTGGTTACCGACGCAAGTGACATCGCCATCGGAGCTGTACTGTTACAGGACTTCGGCAACGGCCTCCAACCCATCGCCTACGAATCACGCAAACTACATCCGCCTGAGCGAAATTACCCGATACACGACCGCGAAATGCTCGCGATCGTGCATGCATTCAAAGTTTGGCGCTGCTACTTGACTGGCGCAGACGTGACAGTACGGACAGACCACCGATCTCTACAGTACCTCCGCGCACAGCCCCACCTCAACCCACGACAGATTCGATGGCTCGATTTCCTCGAGTCGAATTTTCACTATACGGTCACATACAAAAAAGGAGCATCGAATATCGCCGACGCACTGACCCGCCCCACTGCCCAGATCCACGCGATACTACTCGCCCAGACCAGCCCACTGCTTACCGGCCTATTTACCCACGGATATCAAACAGACTCGTTCTTTACAGGAGGCAACTCACAGCAATTCGCAGCGGCAAAAGGAGTCTATTACGTAAAAACTGGAACCGACCGCATCTGGGTACCGGGATACACGCTACTGCGGGAACTACTGTTACAGGAAGCACACGATGGAGTTACCTCGGGACATTTCGGGGTAGAAAAAACACGGCAGCAGCTGCAGCGGTACTACTACTGGCCAGAAATGTTGACCGATGTGCAACGACATGTGGCATCGTGTCCCACTTGCCAGCTCATGAAGTCAAGCAGGAAGCGACCAGCGGGGCAATTACAACCCATCCCGCCTCCAGAGCGTGCTTGGCAGCAGGTGACGATGGACTTCGTCACGGGGTTACCAGCTGGGGCGAGTGGGAATGACGCGATCCTGGTCGTCGTCGATCGACTAACGAAAATGGCTCATTTCGCAGCATGCAGGAAATCCATCACAGCCGAAGAAACCGCCCGACTATTCATCTCCACCGTCGTACGACTGCACGGGATACCCGCGTCGATCATCAGCGACAGGGACACGAAATTTACCAGCAACTTCTGGCGGAACCTGTGGCAGCAGTTCGGCACACGCTTACAGTTCAGTTCATCCTATCACCCCGAAACCGACGGACAGACGGAACGAACAAATCAGACCATGGAGCAGCTGATTCGAGCCACGTGCGACGACCCGAATACGTGGGAACAGCAGCTGCCACTTATCGAGTTCGCATACAATAACGCACCATCAGCCACGACGCAACAGTCGCCGTTTTATCTAAATTACGGACAGGACCCAACAGTACCCATGACACCGAATCCCGACAACCCCGTCCCACGAGCACAACAGTTCGCTGAGATTCTGCAGGCAGCACGGACCAGGGCAGCAGAAGCAATAAAAAAATCAAACATCATCGCTAAACGCAACGCCGATCGACATCGCCGACCCGTTACTTATCAGCCCGACGACCTCGTTTTACTCGACACTCAGAACCTTCGCCTGCCCATCACTCCAAAACTTCGCCCCCGATATTGTGGGCCATTTCGCATCAGCCACATGATCACACCAGTTACCGCCCACCTCCTCCTCCCCGCTGACTGGTACGTCAGCCCGTCATTCCACGTCAGCCTACTTCGCCCTTACATCCCATCCACGAGCCAACTGCCACGACATCGCCCAGCCAGCATGACACGTCCCCCAACCGAACCACTCATCACCCCTGACAAAATCCTCAGCCACCGCGTCCGCGACCCTCGGGGAGCCCGAAGGATCGAGTTCCTAATTCGCTGGAAGGACCGAACGGCCACAGAAGACAACTGGGTCCCCATGGATAAAATTGAGAACCACCCTGTCTTCACCGAGTATCTGCGAAGCCGAAATTTCCGCGACGTCCATGCGCTCTCGTAAGAGGGGCCTCCTTGGGGAGGGGGGTAGTGTAAGGAAATTCCCTTTTCCTTACTTCGCGTCCCTGCCCAGCGCGTACGTCACTGTAGCACCTCAGTCAGCACCGTTACCACTCGCGACCATCGCATCATTCATCATCCCGCCTTTTTCGCACATCGCATCCCGACCTCACGGCTCGGCTGGTAACCCGCGCTCCGGGCCTACGCTTCGACACTTTCCCAACCTCAGTCTCAGGCTCGACGCGCGACAACCACAGTCCATTACCGTTACCACTATTGTTTCGCTATATAATCCTTCGCTCATGCCTTCGCTCATTGTACTTTTGCTTCGATAGTGCAATTCTCGTTCGTTCACTCAATTGCACACGTAACACTCAGCATGGTACAACACTTGAAGTTTTCATCCTCGTAAACTAGAACAAGCATGAAAAACCAAGTCACAATAGCAAACTTTATATTAAGGTACACTTGTGATGAAAGCATATAGAAATCTAACCAGCTGGCTACCGCCTGCCACAGCACATGTAGACATAGCCTAGCGCATAACATCTTTGACTAACAAAACTAAAGGTATTGCGAACCCCCTAACAAGACAATGCCCCACGACCATCTCCATCTCTATCTATCTAGCACTATCCATCTATGAATGGAATGATTGGCAAGGATTCTCATTCCATACCGTACATCGCCTGCATGTGTATCCACATGATGGTGGTGTACGGTCTCACTACCATTTTGTGACAGTAGTGACAAGCCACAAGTCAGGACAGCAGGAGACTACGCGTATAGATGGAAGGAGTGGTGGAGGTCGTGGTGGTGATGGTGGTGGTGAGTTGAGGCGGGGGGGACGAGTGGGGAAAGGGATCATGTGGAAGAGTGGGAGGTGAGGTTGATTTTCTCTTCTCACATCACTGAGCAACCCCACACTCCATCCATCTCATGCTCAACAGCCCTGCCTTCTACCCGTCCCACCAGTAGCAGCAACAGCAACAGCAGGAGGCATGAACATGGCCCTGCATGCCTCGAGCCTGCTCAGTCTCTCCTCCAGAGCTCGCAACATCGCCATCTCCTCCCCTGCCAGCCATCCAGACAAACCACCAGTCTCCGACCCAGAAGCAGCACTGGTGCACCCCACTCCCACCTCCCCTGCTGCCTTCCCTGCCCCTCCCACGTCTCCTCCTTCCATCCCTCCCACCGCAATGGAACTTTCTACCACCGCAATGGCATTTTCCACTGCAGCAGCAGCCGCTGCTGAGCTTAGCTTGATTTCACTGGCACCTTCCATTCGCTCTCTACCCGCTGCTGCTCCCCCCCGATCTCTTCCCGCTCCTGCCACTGCACCTGCGCCCACTCCCTGCCGTCCCGTTGCTGCTCCAGCACCTTTACCCTGACCCGAACCCAGCAGCCTGAGAACCAAGGGTGACGACGCAGCAGGGGGGGTGTTTGGCACAAGCCAAGAACCTGAAACGCCCCCTCCCCCTCCACCACCATCGCCAGCACCACCACCACCACCACCACCGCCAGCACCACCCATCCCCGCGCCCCGCACAGGCCCTCCGCTAGCCCCCGCACCCACCTTCCCTCCGCCCCGCGTTGACCCGCCAACTCCCGCTGCTGCACCAGACCCCCCTCCTGGCGGAAACAGCGCGCGGCGGAAGCTCCTGGGCGTGCCTGGCTTGCGCGAGCGGGAGTTGCGCCCGGGAAGGGGGGAGCAGGGGCGGCTGGGCATGGGAAGCGGCTCGCCCGGAGGCGACGGCGGGATGCTTCCGATTGGTCCGTAGTTTGGCGAATACGAGCCGTCGTCGTCGTCCTCACCCGCGCTTCCTTCGGAGCCACTGGGGGAGCCGGGACTTGCGGGGACGAGAACGGGAGGTGGCGGGAGAATAGGCACAACCTTTTTCGGTGAGCCAGCTGGGGACCGTGACTGCTGCTGCTGATGATGATGGTGGTGGTGTTTCTCCTTGCGCGCCCGCAGCTGTTTCAGCTGCTGCTGTAGCTTCTGCCTGTGCTGCTGCTGCTCCTCCTCCTGCCACGCGGCAACAGCATTCGCCGCTGCGTTTGTCGCCGCAAGGACAGGAGCAGTACCAAACACTTCGGGAACCACCTTTGCGAAATGGCTTTCCTTCTCGCTTCCCGTCAAATCCGTCCCCTCATCCGCCACCTTTGCGCCTGCCTTCGCCCCTTCCGGTTCTAAACCCGCCCCAGCCTCCGCAATCATCAATCCCGCCGCCGCCGCCGCCGCAGCCGCTGCCGCAAGCGCTGCGCTGTTGCAGAGCTCCGAAAGCGGTATCCCCCTTCCTTTCGGCACGAGGGATGTCGACGTGAGCCGCGGGGGACAAGCAACAGAAAGCAGCCATGGATGGTCAACCACGTGCTTCGCTTTCAGCCGGCAGCGCGGGTCGACCGTCAGCATCTGCCGGACGAGGTCGCGAGCTAACGGCGAGACGCTCCGCCAGACGGCCGCTTCGAAATTGATCGCCCCGCGGAGGATCGACTTCCGCAAGCCCTCGTCGTCGTTATGCGTCTTACCCGCAAACGGCAGGCGTCCCGTGAGCAACGTGCACAGCACGACGCCCATGGACCACACATCGGCGCGCTTCCCGTACCGCCTCCCGCGCACCATTTCCGGCGCCGTGTAGTACCTGCTGCCCGTAAGCCCCGCCGCGGACTCCCCTGGTGGTAACTCCATCGCCAGCCCGAAATCGGCGAGTTTCGCCACTCCGCCTCGCGCCATCGGCACGGGAGCCGACGAACCGAGGAACCCGAGGTTCAAGTGTCGAATCACGGGCCCCAGTGCCTGACTAGGACTCTGCCCGTGCCCCTGCCCCTTCCCCTGCCCCTGCTCTTGCCCTTGCGCGGAACCTACAGCCGTTCCCTCCGCCTTCCCCTTGCTATCCGCTCCAGCCTGCTCCCCTCCGAGCGAAGGCTGCGGCGTGACCGGCGGGCGCCCAGTGGGCGCGAGCAGAAGCACGTTCTCCGGCTTGATATCCCGATGCATGATGCCCTGCGCGTGGCAATACGCCATGGACGTCGCGAGCTGGCGGAAAATCGCGCGCGCGTCTTCCTCCGCGAACGGCCCGTGCCGCTTAATCTCGTCGAACAGATCCCCACCGGAACAGAGCTCCATGATTAAGTACACGTGGCCGTCGTCCTCGTACACGTCTTGCAGCTCGACGACGTTCGGGTGGCCGGCGAGCCGCGCTAGGAGGCGCACTTCGCGGCGCACGTCCTCCGCGTCGGCGTCGTCGCGCAGTTGTTTCTTGTCGATGATCTTGCACGCGTATTGGAAACCCGTGTGGCGGTTGCGGCACTCGTGCACCACGCCGAAAGAGCCTTTCCCGAGCCGCTCGCCCATCTCATAGTGCGCGAGCGCGCCGTCCGGTGCGGAGGGGAGGACCTTCGGGGCCATCTGGTGGAATTATCCGGATATTATTATGTTTTCCTGATTGCGGATGGAAACCGTTCGCGACGGGACAGTAGCGTGACGTTCAAGCCGTACTATCGCTGGGTCTCCTATGGATCCTAGCTACACAGGCGAGGGTTAGATGAAACTATCGTGCCACTCGAAAGATCTGCCGTTCCTTAGATCTCGCAGCCCGTTACTGACACCACCCATGAATAAGCCGCGGAGAATTCGGTACGTTGATGAAGCTACTTGACGATCCCGAAAGAATCTGACTGATTCGAAGGTTTGAGTTAGTGTTGTCTCTATGTCATTCGGTTTTGTGGGGAACTGTAAGCTGCAATCTCCAGAAAACAAGCACATCAAGCTGTACGCAGCGCTATGTTGCTGAGAGAGACCCTTGCATCATAGAGGGCAGATCTGGGCTTGGGAAAGCTCGAAAGAAAGCCAGCCCTGCAATTGGGTTGGTTCGTCCATTGGCGTAACGGCTGCTGATGCAGCGGTGAATGTTACATCCGTCCGTCCCATCCCATCCCACACGCCATCCATCACTGTTTCCCTTTCCTTCAACAACACTTCGGGCAGCTGAATCTGAGGTGGCACTGTCGAGAATGTCCCTTGAAATGGTAAGGTGAGGATTCACGAAAGACGGCGAAAAGGCTGTGTTCGATGCGAATCGTGCTAGTAAGAACCGTGGCCCGTGGGCGATCGCGCACCACGAAACCTCCCTGCGTTGACAAACGTAACGACATGAATAGGCGAAGGCTGGTAGATTGTGGTAACTAGGTCCAGCTAAACTTCGGGCATGCTGGAAAGTCTTGGTGTCCTCGAATGGATGCGCGGTTCGGCACGAAGGTCGTGATTCTTTCGGGTTTGATGGGATGCCGACTTGATGACATGGCGTGGACTTTAGGGACAACTCCGCATCGCCCCTTGGTTTATCTCGAGCCAGCAGCAAGCCTCACAAGCACAACCTGACACAAATGAAAGTTTCGCGCCCAGGGCATTTTTGGACTCGGAAAGAGCGAAGGCGGTTCGGTTGGTCCCGCACGTCGACGCTGAAATGACAAAATTCGTTAATGCGTCGTTCGTCTTTTGTCAATGTCTCTAATCGAGTAGCGACTCGTCAAAAGGCCTAATTGTGCAGCTGTTGAGGCGGTTTCTTCAACAAAGTTGTACACATAGGTATACCAATCTTATCATTAAGCTTTATGTTTGTCTCTAAACACGTATTATTTACTTTGCATGGTATAACTGTCAAAAATATATATATTTGATATATAATCTGCTTACATCACAATGTAGTGTAACTCGTAATATTACATCTGCTGGCGGTGCACCCTTGCCTTGCTTGTATTTCCTGGTTTTTTTTATTTCTAATCCAACGCCCTTTCTCTCTCGCAACTTCCTAGTCCAATATATCCCAAACCCACTTTTGAGGTTTAGGAGCAGGTTTGGACTCCCCTTGTTACTACGGTGGCGCTATTTAATGGGGCGCGTTTTCCTACTTGGCATGATCTGCAGCTTCTTTGTGTCGCCCCGTTCTTGGCCCCTTTGGCGGCCCCACTTGCGCCTTACCGACGTGCCCCTACCACTGGAGGCGAATAAGATCAAGGCACACAGCAGGCCCTACGAAGTCATACTTTTTTTCTCTGATTTGCACAAAAAACTCTGATATTTCAGATTTTTTTTCCAGTGTACTCTGTTAAAATCAGACTTTTTTGGGCCCAAACTCTGTAATTTTCAGACCTCTTTTAAGGCCAACTCTGAGAGTTCAGAGTTTTCTGAGAGTGTACTCTGATCATTCAGGGTACAAACGCGTTCTTGACTGGTGATTCGGACTTACGGGTCACAACAGATTCGCAATGTCAACGCAAAATAGCCTTGACACAGCAAATCCGAGCCTTACAGCACAATATTTTCGCCCAATCATAGCAAAATCGCCCTAACACAACAGATTTGCGCTGTCAAAGCACAACAATTTTCGACCAATCACAGAAAACTCACCCTGACATTGCAGATTCGCTCTTTCGCACCACAAGATTCGCCCTAACACATATATTCTCCCTGTCAGAGCATGTTTTATCGGAAATCCCCTTAGTGTTGTGTGTTTCGGTAGCAGATGAATGAAACATTTATTACATTCCGATGAAACATTGAATACATTGTTTTTGAATGATCAAACTTTTTTTTAGGACACTCTGAAATTTCAGCCTTTTTTTTATACCAACTCTGAGATTTTCAGACTAAAATTGTGTACTAGTCTGACGAATCAGACAGGCCAAAAACGAATCTGAGGGCCTGGTACACAGTAGCGTCACACGATCCAAATCGGGTATGCAAGCTGGACCACGCTGTGAGCCCTCCTGGTCCCCAAGGTGAGCTCAGCAGTAAGGGTACGGGGACATTGTGGGGCAGGCAGCTCATCCAAAATATGGGCGTCAGGGCTGTCGTTTCGTTTTGGCCCCCCCGGACAAATCAGGGGGCCCGGCATGTACGACCCTGTATTTAGCAGGGTCGGGGCGAATCTCGGCCCTTTAGGCTTCAGGGCTGAAATTTATTCCTCCCTGTAAATCAGGTTTGCCGCGGAAAATTCTGCAGCCTCAGTTCTACCACAAAGCTGACAGCTGCACTCCGCTAGTATCAAATTAGCTAGTTAGCAATAAAAATTCTAGTTAGCGTCATTCACTACGCACGCGTAACAGACTTCCTCCTCTTCCAACTCTTAGCAAAGATCTGAGATGTGTTTTGCTGCTTGCTATGCCCATTCAGGCCTGAGGGTGCACAACATGACGGGGATCTGACATGTGTTTTGCTGCTGCATGTTGGTTCATGCTACTGTCTGTGTGTCATGGGATGGGAGCGAGGTTGTAATTGGTACAAGTACCAGTTGTTGGTTGAGTTGAATCTGTGGTCCAGCCACGCAACTCCAAATTTGACAGGCTTGAATGCAATCAAAATAGAAACGGGGGGAGGGGGAATGGAGGAGTTTGGGGGGGGAGGGGGGGGGGAGGAGTGGGAGGGGAAGTTCGAAAGACTTTGTTCCAGGGCTCGCCTAAAATCTACCCTTCACACTCCAGACCTAAGCCCGAAATCAGCCCTGTAATGAATCAGGGCCACAATTTTCTCAACCCATCAATTTCAGTTTTCAAGGGCAACCCAGCCCTGGAATTCAAGGTCCAGCAGGGCAAACGCCCTGCAAGCGACAGGCCTGATGGGCGTACATGCAGCCGTTGTCCTGACGTTGGCTATGCCGACATCGAGCCGCAGTATGAACCCGGACACCGTGATAGGAGTAGGTAGGGGCACAGCTACAGAAGCTGAGTAGTGTCTATCACAGGACATTCAGAGGCATGCAGGCATAGATAAACCCGAGTGGTAGGCGCGACAACAAAGCGTGCGACAATCACGGCTGCAGGGCGCAACGGCGGGCGCGCGGCAAGACGTGGTAGGGCGCACGGTAGGCTCGCAGCGAGCGCGGCAAGGCGCGACAGGGCGCGCAGGCTTGCAGCAGAGAGCGCGTCAGATGTTTAACCGCCCTTTGAATGTGGTGTAGTGGAGTGGCACTGTATGTTCGTGGTGTACTCCATTGCCTTGTCAGTTCTTGCCTTTGCATTGTAGTCCTCCTCCTTTTTTAACCCCTTTCTTCCTCTCGATATCCTTCTACCTTAGTTCCTAAATCATACGATAGTCACTATCCCAATCTGACACAAGCACGCGGCAGGGCGCAGAAGGGCGCACGTCATGTGCGCGGCATGGCTAAGGTTTTAGGGCGCGATAGGCGGACGGCGAGCACGGTAGGGCGAGGCATGCGTGCAACAAGTAGGGCACAGAACGCGACGGGGCCGTGACGGGGGCCGCTAAGGGGGGCCGCAATAAAGAGAGAGGGTGGTGGGGTTGAGGCGGGGAGGGGGGGCGGGGGCGGGGGGGGGGGGGGGGGGGGGGGGGCGCTAGAGAGGAGGACGGGGGGGGGGGGGTAGGTGGGGCGCTAGAGGGGGTGGGGGGGCATGGAGGCACGAAGAGCACCCAGGGAGGTAGGATGGGCAGAAGCGAGAAACCTAATCTAGCGTAATACCATGTCAATAACATAATGAGTTAGGAATGAGGGCGTACGGAGGGGGTATATATAGCTAACCTGTACTTCCTTTAGTACAAACCAACGCAGTTTAAACTCACAGGCAAACGCATACCATGTGTATGTTGACACCTAAGTCCTTCATCTTGAAGTTACTTTCAATCACATGCTTTTTCGTTTTTCTGTGCACTGTACTGTCAGAATCTAGCGAGCAGGAGTGGATGAGCTATGAGAATGCGGGGTACAAGTGCTAACCCTAATAACTTGTACCACTTGTAGGCTACCCCACTATAGCCTAGAGATAACACGCAAACATGCAGATTTGACACCCTCCCATAGGCTAAGTGGGGGATAGCAAACACAACAAACAGTCACAAGACTAGTTAATCAAAGGAACAAAACAAAGTGGATCTTGATACCACGCAGTCTGAGCACAAGCAAGCGGCCACAAGGTCAGTTTACATGCATGAGTAAGCATGCATGTATAGATATATATATCATAGTACAATGCAAAGTAAAGCAGTAAGCAAGTGAGGCAGAGTAGGCACAAGGCCTAGAGCAGTGCATAAACGCTGATGATTGTTGGGAATAATAAGTCTTAAGCGCCTCTGTCGTGTCGAAACTCAGGACACTAGCGAAGCAGTCCGAATCGAAGCATCGCGAGTCAACCCTCGGAGGTTAGGGTAACCGCCTGGAGGTTACGAGAAGGTCAAAGGTCAGCGACCTTTGACTTGACAAATACAGCGCGACAGCAAGGACACACAACTGACTCGACATTGAGCAGTTGCCCGAGTCGCACTGTATCGAATCGCAACTGTAAAACGGTTTTAACTTATCTATTCGTATTCCTTGTACTCTTATATAAACCCCTGTATTT